ACATATAATTATATGAACATGGACAGGGATATGGAAGGCTGTGCACTGAGCTTATGGTGATTTCCAAGAACAAAGATGGGAAAAGCTATAGCCAGCAAAGAGAAAATGATGAATGAAAGAAGTGAAAACAGCAACTTATAAAAGGAGGAACATCCAAAATAAAAAGGAGCATAGGGTAAGATTCCATCTTGTAAAAGTATCTGTGTCTGGGATTTTTGAAAATAGCAGGGATTACAATTTAGAAAATAAGAGACAACAGATAATTGACTCAACTCTTCAAGACTCCATAGGTCATGGTTCTCTAGGAGAGGTTAACTTCCAGCCATTTATGCTCCTCTGTATTTACCTGAAGCTCCTTCAGCAAAGACTAGGCCTCGAACTCAAGTTTGCTCACATCAAAATCCTCCTTCCTCAGTGGTCAAAATTATAGTGAACTAAAGCATGGGGTTTACTTTGTCCACCTTGAAGACAGCTCAGCAAAAAATTGAGCCAACCTGTATTAATCCTGTATTAACCATTCTAGCGAAGAATAGAATTTGAGGTTTACCTTTCCATAAAATAAAATCTCATAAAAAGACTCTCACACAAATAAAGGTAAATTTTGTCTCCATTTCTGATTAAACAAAAGCTAATGAGCCTTTGAAATGTCTATATTGGTAGTTCATTATGTCCACAAATTTCAAAGACCCAGAACTATCTCATAGATAGAGGAAAAAACCAAAGTATTTAGGTTCTTTCTCTCCCCAGAAGCCTCTGGAAATAGAGTTTCCATAACAAGACATTTGATGATGGAGCATACATATTTGTGGGAGAAGGATAAAGATTCCTTTCCTAATTTCAGAATAAATACTTGGCACCATATTACACAGATAATGCAGGTGTGATTTTCGAAAACTTCACAAAATTTTGAAAGGTTTATATCTAGAAGGAGGATGAAAATTTATAGTTGTTTACCATTTTACTTTTTGATTGGAGGAACTCTACCTTTGTTTTCTTGAAAAAAAAGCTTCTATGAGACTTTTGTACCCTTCCCCTACTCAACTATAGTGACAAAATTCTATTTAAGAATGAAATTTGGCTAGGTGTGGTGATACAAGCCTGTGATCCCAGGATTCTGGGAAACTTGAGGCAAGAGAATCACAAATTCGAGCCCAGGCATCCAGTCAACTTAGTGAGATCCCGTCTTTAATTTACGAGGCACCATGCCTGCGGTGTATGCGCAAGGTCCTGAGTTCGATTCCCAACACCAAAGGAAAAAAAAAGAAAAAAAAATTTTTAACTTTCCAATTAATTTATTTAAGTTCATTAACATTGGAAAACTATGTACAACAAAAAGACATGTTACTGTATTCCTAAAAGGACAAAGGAAAAGAAAATATTACATCTCCTACATTGTAAATCAGGACCAACACTAGTATTTCTTTTTCTTTTTTTTTTTTTTTTGGTACCAGGGATCAAACTCAGGTCCTTGCGCTTGCAAGGCAAGCGACGGAACCACTGAGCTAAATCCCCAGCCCCACTAGTATTTCTTACAGAGACTCATCAACATGTTGCATACAGACATCAAAATTTAATTTCTCACACTGAAATGACAGTACTAGTCAGCATCATTCTAATATCGTAAAAAGCTCACAGTAAATTTTTTCAAATGACAGCATGTGAACTTGTGGTAATGAACATTTCTGAAACATATATCAAAGTGCGTGATACTTTGAACTGTTTTATGTGAACTGTGTCCCCAGGGCTGTGGAAGTGCGTGGCCCTGAATACCACCAACATTTGCTAGGTAGGTTTGTGTAGTAAACTATTAAGCAGCTGTTAGAAAGGAACAGTAAAGTAGCTGATACTATTATACAAGTTCCCTTGTCAAACAATGTGAAAAATGCCTAAAAACTTCAAATGCAAACATAACCTTTTGCAGAGTGTAAGATGTCAAGATAAAACCCGACAGTTAATCTGAAGCAAACATTTTAATATCATTCTTTACTAACTTGAAAGTAAACTTGCTTTTCATCTGATGCTTGATTTGTGAAATGCTGTATGTGTATCACAGCATTTTTAGTTTGTAAAACACATTATGTAAAAATCTGTTATATATAGTTGCAAAAAAGTGTTCTATTCAAAAATCCTTACTGTTCCACATATTACTTTATTTTCTCTTGCCATTTAGAACTTTAAAGGGAATAAATTATTGGGCCTCGAAAAAAAATTTTTTTAATTGGGGCTGGGCGTGGTGGTGCACACCTGTAATAATTCTAGCATTTGGGAGGCTGAGTTAGGAAGATGACTGCAAGTTGCAGGCCGGCTTGGACTACATAATGAGTTCAAGCCCAGCCTAAACTACATGAGACCATGTCTTAAAAAATCAAATAAATATATATATACATATATATTAAAATTTAAATTTAAAAATGAGCTGGGGATACAGCTCAGTGTAAAGGCCTAGGTTCAATCCCCATACCAAAAACAAAAAGTTTGGAGAAACAAAAAGATAAACTTTTTTCAAATAAATGTAACAATTTTCCTTGTGTGCAAAATAACATCCATCTGAGGTTACTCTGTTATCTGGATTTGAGGAAAACCTTATTTTTCCTTCAACCAAGCCCCAGACAACGAGTATTGACTCCAGTCTAGGAAAACATTCCCCTAAACCCTTAGTAGAACAACAGATGTCAGGTCAAGTCCAAACAGAGATGGCTGATGAGGAGGCAGGCATGACCTCTGGACTTCAAGAGCATTAATACCTCCAGCACCTGTGGATGTTTTTTCCACACTATAATTTCCCTTTGTTACCTTCAAAGCTAGAGAAAAATCTAGAGCCTGGATGTGGCTGTCCTTTGTGCAGCTGAGAGAAGCGCATGTGTCTTCACTGGCCTGAGGTAGCAGAAAGTACAAAAGTGGCCCAGAGAAGAAACTAGGGAAAGGATGGCAAGAAGTCACCATCAGGGGCCATGAGGAAGCACCTGGCTGGGTCCCAAGGATTTACCAACACAGATTACTGGACCATCTAAGTATTCCTCCCTGCCGTAATCTATCCTAATGGGCTTCAGCATTCTTTGGCTGAAGTTTGGGGTATTATAAACATTTTACAACTTCATGGTTTATAAAATTAGCAATATTGTGTCCAAGCAAGATTTAAGTCACATACTGTCTATGTACTAGCAAGAAGCATCCTTCCCAAAGTACAGATATTATCCCATTTTTTTTTTTTCGAGCAGGGTCCCACTATATTGCTATCTTGCCCAGGATGACCTAGAAATCCTGAGCTCAACCCATTCTGCTGCCTCAGCCTCTGAGTAGCTTAAATTACAAAGCATGCGGCATAGTGTCCACCTTGCCCAATTTTTCAAAGTTTGCTTTCGTTAATTCATTCTCTTGGTAAGCATTTATTGAGCATCTATAGTAAGTTAGTCCCACAGACCCAAATGATGATACCAGATTGCCACTCCATACTATTAGGTTTAGTAGGAGGAAAGACTTAATCCATAATGACTACACAGTGCGATAAGTTCTTGAAAGAGATCAACGTACACTTCTAAGGCTTCTCTTTCAGTAGTTACTGAGAAAAAAGCCGTGTTCTAGGCTAGGGATAGCAAACCTTTTAGAGACTGAGTGCCAAACTGCAACCCCACACCCACTTACTTATCGCTAAGTGCCAACACTGCAATTAAACCTCAATACTGATATTTTAGTTTAGAAAAAACAACTTATACATTAACATCTTTTGTCCTAAAAGAAAAACACAGTGACACACATGCCATAGGTTTGCCACCACTGTTCTAGGCAATTAAAGCCATATCAAATGTCTTCTCCTTTTTACTGAAAGAACAGTCTCATGAGGAAGGGAGATTATAAATTCAGTCCTACTTGGGGAAGAATCCTGGTTATGCCACTTACTCTCTAGCTTGAGAGCATACTCTTTGATCACTGTTTCCTCATGTACAGGAAGTTTCATTGGGAAATTAAGAAGTTTTGTTTTTTGTAGCAATAGATATCAAACCCAGACTTCAGGTATGCTAGGCAAGAGCTCTACCACTGAGCTATATTCTCCAATCCTGAAAAAGGTTAACACAGAAAACCTAACACAGAATAAATGTTATTATTTTTGTCTCATGCCCTCTTCCCTGAGAAGTAACTGCAACCTCTAGAACTCTATTACTTATACTGAAAAGTTTCCTTCTGAGAGTCAGTGAGCAAGGTATTAATTTAAATAAACTTTTTAAATTTCATATATGCATTCAGTACTCTGGTAGGCACCCTATACTATTGTAAAATTAGTATAAATGCAGTTACCTAACTCGAGACAATGTTCATTGGCCTGGAGATATGAGAGGGGTGTGAAATTCATCAGTTGATAACTAGCAAAAAGGAGGGCTATGACAGCTTTCATGGAAGAAAAACTGTTTTAGGTAAAAATGGAATATGGCTGTACAGAGCACTGAGAAATACTGGGAAGTAGTGAATTGAATATGCATGTTACATCATATTACATATCTGATAGATTTGGAAAAGTGAATTCCTTCAATGCTGGCTTCTCAGCCCAGGGGCAATTAGGATCCTATTCCTTATCAGATGCATACCTCCTACATGCCTGCAAAACAAAATGAACTCAATAATTACACTACAGAGAACCTGAAAACATACCTAACTTGATTACACTTTTATTTTTGGATTTAAAAACTCCTCACTCAATGAATGCACCCTTGATAAGCCAAGTTACAATAATCAGTCACATGAACAGTTGTCCTTACAAAATAGATTGCTGTCATAAGAAATGAAAATCTCATAGATAGTAATAAATTCAGGAACAAATACTACTACATTTAAGCAACTACATGGAAGATAGCATGTCCTGAAAAACAGTTTCTGGTGACTGAAAAATATAGGCCCAAAGACACAAGGACATTAATGTCCAAAGATACATGTAATAAGTTCAAATGAAAGGGGGAAAAACAAAAAGTACCAAATTATTTAATATATTAAGTAAATACTTATTTATTAAATGAGTAATAAAGGTGGAGGAATTTCTCTTCCCACGATAGTATATCTTTAGACTATGAAATCCCAATCAGAGCCATTGGAACCATAAATTCCCACTTAACTTTTGCTTCCCTGAGCTTCTCATTCCTAGTCAGTGCTTGAGGAGTTTGATATATTTGGTTTTGACTTTCTACCACTTATCACTCTAATCTTCATCGTCTTCCTCTTCCTCTTCCTCTTCTTCCTCCTCCTCTTCCTCCTCCTCTTCTTCCTTCTCCTCTTGAGCCTCTTCTGCAGTCTTTTCTGGAGGAGCTGCTGCTGCTACTGCGGCTGCAGCAGGACGTTTACAACAGCAGACACAAATAACTCTAAGTAGTATTAGTAGTCCCAAAACTACAAGGGCAATTAATAGTAACTTTGAAGTCCATTTTTCTTCAGTTTTATCAGGTGGAATTGCAAATGATGGCTTATTAGGGGGGCCGCTGTCCACACTACCCCCACTTCCTTCTGTTTTGCAGTCAGGGGGAGCAAAACCATCTTGACAATGGCAGTTCCCTAAATTGTTGCAAACTCCATTCTCATTACACTTTTCAACTGCACTGCAAGTACCTTTCTCAGGGGTGAAATTATCACATTGGGATTTCACACAGGCTTTGTTTTCAGCACAAGGTATGCCCATTAACACTCCTTCTTCACTGGAGCTAGCAGTATCAAAGGTACCCATACTCCAGCACCAGTTATCTTCATGAGGACTCTGGATCAATGCATATAGAGGTTTGATGGGAGGCAATGAATTAATTCCTGTACATATAAGGTTTCCACACTTTATATTGTCTCCTGAACAACTAATGTATGTGGCCGGATTCCCAGAATGGCCACAGTTTCCAAATATATTCCCTTTGCTGTTAAATGAATTGTAACATTCTTCTGGGGCAGAGGTTGACCCAAACCCAAACAAGGTTGCACATTGTACACTAGGGTCTGTGCACTTAGCATTCAAACAGGAGTATTTGAAATGACACTTTGTGCCATCTTGCATATGCATGTCTGCTGGGCATTTTGCAGAAACACCATCACAGTACTCTGGGAGGTCACATGGTCCCACAGGATGACGGCACGTGTGACCCCTCATTTGCATTTTACAATTGGAACAGCACAGACCATTACCACACTGTGCATGCTCCTTCAGTTTGCATGTTGGTTCACAGCATGGGTCACTGTGACAAGCAGAACCACAGTCACACTCCTCCAGGTCCTCCACCTCACCATTTCCACAACTGGCATCCCTGCGCCTGCGGCCTTTGTGCCGTGGCTTGTTAAATAGGCAGGCCCCTTTGTGTTCATGAAGGAAATGGTAGAAGTAGTCAGAGCTGCAGTTACTGAAGCCACTTTCTTTAGTGATATTTTCATGCATGAGGCAAAAGTGCTTATCTTTACAAACGCAGGCTGAGTGGTCGTGCTGAATACCTAGGTTGTGCCCAAGCTGGTGGACCATGAGTGCTGCAGACAGGAGGGCATCTTCATGTTGGAAAGCTTCGACAGCCGCCGCAAAACCACTTGAACAGGCTCCATTGAGAAATGCCTGGCCCGAGGTCTCTCCAGGATGATGCCCAACGATCATGTGGGCAACATCATGCCTCTCACGAGGGAAGAGCTCCTCTTGTCTCCAGCTATTGAAATTCCTGAGTGTAACTTGCAGGTCCCCCGGGACCTCTATCAGGTCCCCCGGGACCTCTATCAGGTCCCCCTCCGTCCAAATCTCCATCCCAGCCAGCACCACCTCTGTGTTTATTCCTCGAGTAAAGATGTTGGCCAGAGCAATGACATCCACTACTCTCTGCACTGTCTCATTGACGTCACTGCGCCACATCTGGAACCGCTGGCTGTTGACCACAACAAACATCTCCACGTACTTGGTGTGTGACCACAAGTAGGACAGTGCCTGTAGATCGTGAGGCTTCCTGCCCTCTTGCTGCTGGCTGGCGGACACCGCTTGGCTGTCTCTGGGAGAGACACTACAGGGGACCGGAGCTTGCTGTGCCATGGTGTATAACGCGTGTTCAAACCGTTTGGAAGAGAGTGTGGGCTCAATGCCATAGGATGTTTTCTCCTTAATCAGGATGCCCCTGAGACCTGAACAGGTGTTGACAGAAACGAAAGAACCCGCCACTCCTTCTATGTAGCCTTCACAGTGACAGTCATGTGAGATGGAAGGAATTTCTTGCCCCAGGATGCCACTGTGGTAACTGTAGACTGGAAAATCATTCACAAAATAGTCTCTCCTCACCTTCAGGTGAACCAGCTGCTCCTGGCCTTGCATAAGCAGCATATAAGATGTCTTTTCCACTGGCTCTTCGCTTCCCTTGACCGTCAGACTCTTGGGGATCACTATTTCATAGGAAGAGTAATGTACTGGTCCCAGGTGACAGTGAATGCTTGGGAGAAGAACCATCCCCAAGAGCAACATGGTCACCAACCTGACACTCGAATGTTCTGGCACTAGCCCCAGCCTCAGGGCCTCCATGAGGGGAGCCCAAGTCTGAAGCAGTCTCCTAGCAACACACAAAAACACAGGGCCTTTCTGTAGAGAAGACAGGAAGGAGACAGTGTCTGTCACTGAGGCCATCGCTGACATGACTCTCATGAATCAGTTGATGCTGTGGGGCCTATGTCCATCAGCACCAGCTTTCCCTGACATTCAGACCCTCAGACACACGTATTAGCCCCAGATCTGTACTGCTTACATATCAATTCCAGGGATCCTTAGCTAAGCTCCTTTTGATAGGATGGAGGAATGTGTCATGAAGAAGGACTGTGAACTCTATTGTGCAGGCATGTACCTTGTTAAAGGATCCAAAACCCCTCTTTCTTCCTCCACAAGCCACAGGGAACACCCCTTCCTGCCCCTCCTATTGTCAGTTGCCCCTCCCCCACCCCACCTGTAGGCAGTTGGCTCAGCTAACTCCAAATATTTACTCCAGACCAGGAGACTTGGAGACATGTTTGGTGGGCATACTCCATTGTCCTCTTCCTGTCTTTAAAAACCCTTGCTCTGTAGCACTTGAACATCCTAACCTAGGCTGACCTTTTCCACTCAGTTAGGCATTATAGATACATACACATCTCCAAGACCAATCTGTTAGATTAGGGTAGTGAGAGAGCTGCTCGGTGCCCAACACAGACAGACCCACGGGGAAGGGATAGTGTGTGTGTGTGTATTGTACACAGGGTCTTGATGTCCTAGACAAGCACTTTACCACTGAGCTGTGCCCCTAGTCCATGAGTAACTATTTTCTTTAACATTCTCAAAAGTTAGTTTCTCAAGTTCTGTTTGTAACACTGTCCATAAGTGTATATGAGAAATGCCAGCTCCGCTGCTCATATTATGTGTGACTGTCACAGCCACATTCGTTGTTATCTCCAGGATGGCACCCTCTTAGGAGTAGCCCTGATATATTGGTATCCTAAGATTGTGCCCATTCCCCTGTGTTAGAACATAATCTCCATGTTTTCAGTGACCATGTCCACTTACTCATTTTAACCCTGACAATACCACCACTAAATTAGGAAACCATTTATCCAAGAGTAGAAGAATAAGAAGTGTTTCTTTGAATGAATAAATGACACTTGGGCATGGATGCTACAGTTTCTCATTTGTTATATGTCACTTGTTTGTACTTGCATTGTAACTGGGCTGTTGGCTAAAAATGACTTCCGTCAAACTTACATGGTAACTAAGGCCAATAAGAGCACATGCATGGTCTCCAAATTTATCTCCTACTATATTTTGCTGATAAGCTCACTCACCTAATTTATTCTTGCCTCGTGTTTAACTGAAAACATGAGAAGTAATCAAAAGAGCACTTTCATGTGTAGCCCCCAGTTGAATCTTACCTGTATTTAAACTTTCCTCTTATTGGGCTGAGTATTTAGCTCAGTGGCACCATGCTCTCCTTGCAAGTGCAAGGTCCTGAGTTTGATACCTGGTACCTCAAGAAAAATTTTTTTTCTCATATTATAGTGGATGAATTGTCCATGTATAAAAGCAGTTCTTCCATGTGAGGTCTCCTTTCATTTCAGTTTCTTTTACACTTTTACCACTGTCTTCTCTCTTCTTTACATTTTAAATATGAATTGTCCATCAGATCTAAATTTTCATATTCTGTAATATCATTGTGTAATAAAACCATTTCTTTCCGTGCATATCAGTTTCTAGTAGCCATCTAGAGCTTGCCTTTGTTTCATATTATCTCTTTGAAAAGTGTAAATACTCACTGTCTTCATTCTTCATCATCTAATATCCCTCTTTTCTCTCTTGTTTTTTTTTTTCCAGTACCAGGAATCCAACTGAAGACCTTGTGCTTGTGAGGCAGGCACAGTGCCACTGAGTTAAATCCCCGGCCCTCTCTTTTCTCTTTTGTCAAGGTCTCTGTCTTTAGCCACAGCTGTCCTGGGACTCATAGCCCAGGATCACCTCAATCTCAAAATCTTCTTGCCTTAGCCTCCTCTATGTTGAGAGTACACACCATGCCTGTTTCAAATATGCCGAGGGTTTTTTTTCTCTTTTCTTTCTTTTCATTTCGTTTCTTGTCCTCTTTAAACTCGGGGACTTTGCACTGAGCAATATCCTTAGCCCTTTTTTATTTTTATTTTCATTTTTGTTTTTTTTAAGACAGGGTCTTGTAATGTAGTTCAGGCTGGCCTTGAACTCACTGTGTAGCCCAGGCTGGCCTGGAGTTCTCAGTGATCTTCCTGCCTCAATCTCCCGAGTGCTGGGATTACAGGCATGTACCGCCACGCGCAACACAATTCTTCTTTGTGTTTTGGTGTCCTCTGTTGAATAAGTTCTCCCCACCCTTGCCCTTCCCAGTCTCTAGTGACCATTCCATTCTTCTACAAGATCAACTTTCAGTTCCTGTAAAAGAGTGAATATTTGTGGTATTGTCCTTCTGCCTGGCTTATTTTATTTAACAGAATACTCTTCCATTTCATACTTGTTGCTGCAAGTGACAGGATTTCATTCTTTTTTATGGCTGAAAAACATTCCACTGTATATACCATGTTTTCTTTATCCATTCATCCACTGATGGACATCTAAATTGATTCCATGGTTTAACTGTGTATTGTGAATAGTGCTGTAATAAACATAGGAGTGCCAATATCTTCTTGGTAAAATGATTTTATCTCCTTTTTTTATTTACCCAGTAGTGAAACTGCTGGATCATATAGTAGTTCAATTTTTAGTTTTTAGGTTTTGAGAAACTTCCCTACTGTCTTCCATAACTGCTCTGCTAGTTTACATCTGTACTGTACTAGTTTACTTGGTTCATTAATCCATTTTTTGAAATTCATTTATTTATGTATTTATTTTTTGGTACTGGGGATCGAACTCGGGTCCTTGCGCTTGCGGGGCAGGCGACAGAACCACTGAGCTAAATCCCCGGCACCATCCCAATCCATTTCTAATTGGATTGTTTTTTCAGTGTTCATCTTTTTGAGTTCCTTATATATGTTGGATAGCAATCCCTTGTCAAATAATTTCAGATATTTTGCAAATATTTTCTCCTGTTCTGGTTGTCTCTTACCTCTCTTGATTATTTCCTTTACTGTGTAGAAGTTACCCAAATGCCAGATTCTCAAGAACAACAACCAGAGTTTGTGATGATTTTGGGGAAGATTAAGAGAACACAGCAACAATTTCCATGTTATATTTCCAGGACAAGCTGCTAACAATCCCAGCAGTCACACCAGCTACCATGTTACACAGGAAAAAAAGACGGATTTTAGAAGAAGAAAAAAGACTGATTTTTGAAGAGTCTCAACTTCTTTACATAAGAGTCTTTGTAGTAGTTTTATAAGAGAACGGTCTCTCCTTTTGAGGATATGGGGGAGACAACCCCCATGTTGTAGTCAGTGTTTTCAAGAGAAACAGATTTAATGCAGGACACAGAAATGTATGAGATTAGCTTACTGTATTCTCCCGCAGAGTCAAATGTTGAAGAGTGCAAGAGATGTGTCTGCACACTAGAGATCCAAAGAATCCAGCTGAGGTCCTGAAGCCCACAGCAGTGTCCCATAGGACTCCAGCCGAAGGCCTGGAGCCCATAGCAATGTACCATTCAAGTCTGTATCAGGAGGCCGAGGAATCTGCGATGGAAGACTAAAGGGGCTGCACCAGTAAGCCCAGTGGCCGGTGCTAGAGGCTAGAGTTTGCACTGGCAGGCCAAAAAACTAGTGCTGGAAGGCAAAGTGTCAGTGCCAAAGGCAGGAGATGATGCCCAAGGCAAAGGTGAAGACCGGAGCTTCTCCAAAGAGAACAGCCAAAGCTTCTCTGAGGAAAATCAGCTGAAATCCTTCCCTGGTGTTCTTTTATACCATTCTGACAACCATGCCGACTCAGTTCAGCCTGGTGTTCCTACTCAAGTTGACAATTAACCATCACAACCTACTTCATCTCTTTCTGAGTCTGCTTGTTAATTCTGAAGACTTATTTCTAAGACCCATTTCTGAGACTTCATTAGTTAACACCAAAAGCAAAAAAGCACACGTCATTATATCAGTATCTTGAAGTGTTTTCCTTTATTTTCTTAAAGTGATTTCATAATTTCAGGTTTTACATTTAGGTCTTTGATCTATTTTGAGTTGATTTTTGTGTGTGGTTAGAGAAAAGGATCTAGTATGATTCTTTTGCATATGTGCATCTAGTTTTTGCCAGCACTATTTATTGACAAGATTGTCCTTTTTTTCACTGTATGTTCTTGGCACTTTGGCTGTATGAACATGATTTATTTCTGTGTCCTCTATTCTGTACCTGTTTTTATGCTGATATCATGCTGTTTTAGTTACTACAGCTTTGTAGTATGTTTGGGAGTCATATGGTCTCATGGTGCCCCAGCTTTTTATTTCTCTTTCTTTCATTCTTTTCTTTCTCCCTCTCTCCAGGACAATTTTGGCAATGTTTGGTCTTGTGGTTTTGTATGAAGTTTAGCTTTTTTGTCTTTTTCTTTTGAATAGCGAAACATTTATTGGTACATTTTAGGCATATATAATGATAATACTCATCATAGGGAATTTGCACCTGTGCATGGTATACTCTGCCCTTTTTCCCATTCCCTCCCTCCCCTCAAGCACTGTCCTCTCCCTATATGCAAAAGCTTTGTTTCCATTTTTTCCTTCTATTTTCACCTTGTTTCCTTGTCCCTTCCTTCCTTTCCCCCTCTCTCCTCCCTTGAGCCCCTGCTCATTTGAACATTTTCTTCCCATTTCCCAATATCTATTATACATTTTAGACCTTATTTCCACTTTCAATTTCTCACAGCAGAGAAACAATGTAGTATTTAAACATGTGTGTCTGATTTATTTCACTTATGAGTATGGTCTCAAAGTCTATCCATTTAGCTATAAATGTCTGAAGCTGATCCTTCTTTATGGCAGAGTAGTACTCCAATGTATTAAAAAAAATCACATCTTCTTTATCCATTCGTTGGTTGATAGGCATTTGGGGTGTTTCCAAGATTTAGCTGTTACAAACTGTGCCATTATAAACATGGGTGTGCATACATTGCTGTGGTATGATACTTTTAATTCTTTGGGGGAAATACCAAGAAGAGGAGTAGCTGGGTCAAATGGAACCTCTAGTTTTGGTTTTTTGAGAAACCTCCACACTGATTTCCACAGTGGTTGCACGAGTCTACACTCCCACGCAGAGCCCCTGCAGCATTTGTTACTGGTTGATTTCTTGATAGCAGCCATTCTTTCTGGAGTGAGATGGAATCTCAGCGTTGTTATAATTTGCATTTCACGAATGACCAGTGATGTTGAACATTTTTCATGTATTTATTTGATGTTTCTACTTCTTCTTTTTTTTTTTTTTT